ACAATTGTGACCGTTCAGAGTAGGTAATGACTAAATTTCTAAATCTGTTGAACATGGCAGGTTAAACTATATTAATACAAGGAGAATGATTTTTTAAGATATTTGGCGTACTAATCTGCTATACCATCTATTGTTCTTCTAGTCAGATCCTCTATAAAACTGCAGATTATTTATAGCCTTATATACTCATCTAAATATGTATAAATAGAGTTCTTCTCATGTGTTTTATTTGCTTCCATAATAACTGATGAACCAATCGAATCAGCATGAATATCAACATCCTTTGTCAGGGCATGCATCACGCTCTTGCTATCCTCAACACTTAGATGATAATGCCTTGTTGCTATGATGGCAAATTGTTCTCTCCCTAATGAAATCATCACAATTTCAGAATCATTATATTACTCGTACTTAACAATAAATCTACAATGCACACCATGTTCACATAATTTTGTAACAAGTAGTACAAATAAAGCAAATTTCTTTATAAGAAGGATTTTTTTTACAAAAAATGGTATATCACAAAGCCTGCTTAGATATTATAGCCTTCATTGTTAAGACTTCTGTCTTCATGACGCCATGGCTCAGGTCATAGGAATGCTAAATTTGAAAGGTAATGTTATCTACTTGAAGCAAGATTTCTCGAGCATCAAGATGCCTACCCCTACCACAACATCTCCGACGCTCTTGTTGTGTGCAGCCCGGCGATGCCGTTACCGAGAAGGTGAGTACGAAGCGATAAGCTCATTTAGACATCATTGCGACACTCAACCTTTCTAATTGCTTCCTCATTCAAAATTTTAGTTACTTGCGGGCCTCTTGAATATAATGAGTCATGGATAAATAATAGTGTCGATGAGCTAATAATGACATCTCTCGCTTTTTTTTCTTTTTGCGAAAGAAGATATTCATTATTGACATTGAATAACAAAGATCCCCTTCCTTCCTAAAATAAGGGGGAACCAGCTATCTGTTTTTTATTAATCCCTCCAAATTTGATTGCTACAATATGACTACTTTTTTAAAAGGAAATATATTAATATTGTGAAGATACCAATTACAAGGACATTGAATACCAATTACACCCAGCTCTGCACCTACAAGATGTCACAAGGACATCCAGGATGCACACATCCAAAGAAAAAAATAAAGGAAAAAAAGAAAGGTCCCGCTACAATGATCGACTCCTCTCAGCAGTCGCACACAAATGACCACCAAATACAACACCTTGTAAAACATCAAAGGTCTCCAAAAGCAACGCCTCCAAAAAGGAAACAGCGCAGAAGCGTCGTCGTTGCCCAATCCAAGATCTTAGGTTTTCACCCTGGAGAAGTCTGAACTCTCAAAATAATTCCTTCAGCAAGGCAATTACTAGGCACAACCAATGAAGGCCAGACCTTTAGGTTTTCACCCTGAAAGTTCCGGCTCAGTACCCGAGGAGCAGCACCCAAAATGAATTCCTCCAGTGCTGCCGCGCCCACTTTGACACTACTACTCCTGAGAGTTATCAAACACCTAGCTGACTCCGTCGCCTCGAAGGCCCCGTCCGTCTAACTGATCCTCCGATCTCAGTCACCATGACCTTCTCCATAGCTGTCTACACCATAGAAATCAAGAAGCCGACATGTCCCATGGTGTCAACAAACAACAGAGCTTCGCGTCACGCCCACATAAAACCTCATAGGTTGAAATGGACGTGCACGACCGAATTCTATCCAATCCAGATATCTTGGGAAAGATCTCCAACGGCAGTTTCGGACCACGTCAATGACCAGATCAAGGAGGACCGATCATGTAGGATGTTACCGTGATGCAAGAGGAGCACGAGGACCACCACCTATATTATCACGGCAGCAGGCCCCCACGCTGCCCCGATCCAGCCGACCTCCACCAACCCACCCAGATCTAGATCCAGATCGGGGGAATCGGCATGAATCGCGGCAACCACCGCCCAGCCCTGCACACCGGCGAGACGAGGCCAGCCCGCCGACCAGCAGTCCCAACGCGCCCGCTAAGTCCACATGTACGCCTGAGCCAGGTCGCGCCGCCTGCGCTCGATCGTCAGCCTTAGAAGGCAGCCGTTACCAGCACGGGCACGCCGACCACCCCACCATGCAGCCTCCCCGCGGACGCCGTGCGCAGCAGCAGCAGCCGCCAACACGTTGTGCCATGCCGCATGCCTCGCGCACGTGCCGCGCCGCCACCCAGATCTGACTTCCCATGCCGCCAACTTCTGACCAGGAGGGAGAAGAATCCCCGCCGCCGCGAAATGGGAGAAGGGAGGAGGGGGTGGGTTCAGTGCCAGCAGCCTGGGGCTCTCCTCGGACGCCCACGGGGGCGCCGCGAGGAGTCGCGTTCTGTTTCCCCCGTCCAGCCGTACGTATTGGTCCACCTCACAACGAGCAGTATGACTATTAAAGCAGCTATCTAATTAAGTTATTTAATGTAAAGGCAAAGCACCTACCAAAAAAGTATTGAGTCAAGTGAACAAGTGAAAATGTCTAGATTAACCGGCTAGGTCATAAGAATGAAAAAGGGTAAACTAAAGAAATGTAGACACTCGAATAACCTGGAATCAACATTGTTTTCCAATGTGTTTCTCCATTTTCAGCTTCCCGTGTTGCAAAAGAATAACCTCCAAAGAATCTGAATACCAGGACCCAGTAGTTTCTGTTGTTGTGTTTACCGGATGCCCCAACCCTTTGTCAGCCTCTGCACAAACTTCGAACTAGATTGATTTCAACTATTCACATAAATCTCAACAATTGGTCATGACCATGTCTGTCTCGCTGCCCAACGACAATGCAACATGAAACATACTAGTGGTTCGGGCCCGCCATTGGGGGCCGCTTAAGAGGAAACTGAGCGCGTATTTCTCCTTCTTAAAGAAAAAAGAAGGAAAAACCTCACCTTCATTTCAAAACTTAAAAAGAACTTTTTCACATGCATCTCAAAAAGAAAAAAATGCCAAGAAACTTTTCTCGAGTGGGAAAAGAAAAAAATGCCACACTTCGATGTTCCAAAAAAATCTCAAAAAAACATAAAAAGTTTCTCACCGCGGCCAACCAGCATGCACATGTGGCATAGGTGGCTGGTCGCCCTTTCATTCGGCCTTAATGGGTTTAATTCCACGAGTAGGATAATCCGATACTCCTTGCACAAACCATGAGATACATTTAATGATCCTTATGCTCATATTGGTGTTGCCTTGTCAGTTAGCATCCAATGCACGGATTTAGTGGATCCGCTAGTTTGCGGATACAATTCGGTTTGGTTATCGAGAAGATGATACAGAAACAAAGTCTCAAAAGCCAATCCATCAAATTTCTGCCGTCTACAAAACTGATAAAAGTATGAATATATCAATATTCGTTAGTATTTTCTGCGGGTCAATATTTTTTAATCTAGCTACAAAGTAGAAACATAGTTATGAAATTCATAAAAATAGCCAATTATACAACTAAAAAAGGTAAATATACCTTTCACAAAAAAGAAAGGTAAAGCTAGCAACAATCAGCTATCATTACTTCCTAATTCTAATAAATAAACTCGCAAACAACACTACTAAAAGAATACATTACAACTGGCAACCTGTGCGAACTTTTGATTAGTGAAATATGCAAGGTACCATGTCAGCTACACGAATTCATATGGGTTGCAACATGTTGTCAATCATAAATATATATGAACTAAAAATATTGCGTCCCATATGGGCTCAAACAGTAAACGAAGAACATAATCTAAAGTTAGACAAGCACTTAAACATCGCCTTTATTCCGTTGTCACGGCGAACGACCCGCAACCATTGACGACTCGCATCAGGACGCACAACACCCCCTAATCTTGTTGTAGCCTACAACACACCTGAAAGATTGATCTACCGAAGATTCACCGGAAGTGCAGATGACAACAACAGGGTGGTGTCTTGCACAACGAAAACCACGACGAGAGGAAGCCAGTTAGTGGAGAGCATGACAAGGCAAGTATCCCCTTCGTTAAGTGAACCATAGTCTCAATTAATCCCCTCACAAATTTAATATACTCGCATCTACCCTCCTCGCCGCCAGGCTCACCACGTGTGCCGTTGTCGATGACCATCCAAATCGTGGCATCCATCCTTCTCCCCACATGCCGATTGTTTTGATTGGACATGGCTATGATATGATAGTTGTTATGTGGCAACACACATCTCTATAGGCGTCGTCGCGGGATAGGCCGCCAGAGGAAGACGATGAGAAGGCTATGCGCGTTGGCGTGGAGAGGCGGCATGGCCGAGCGAAGCGGCACGTTGAGGCCCCACGGGAGAATGAGAGGAGGTGCGGCACGGTCCGACGGGAGATATAGAAGGAGGTGTCATAATAAGTAGAGCAAGGCGACACTTTTCCCGCTCTCTTATCCCTGATGATGTCTCTACGAGATGGTCGGTCAAATTAAATCAGACTACATCTCACTTCTTTCGGAAGCGTCTTAACCTCCTTTTATAATTTTGAAGATATTTTCAACCAAATATCATCCAAATGACCATACAAATTTCAAATAGATCTTGATAATATTCATATCGCTTTCATTTGCGAGCATCGACTCTTATCATTACGTGAAAGAAAATAGAACCGAAAAACACAAAACCGCTTCCACGCACGGGTTTGGCTGCATTCTGAGCCACATCAGCTCCATTTAGCCACACGGAGCGAAAGTGCCATCGGAAAGACGATTTCATTTTGCCC